GTAAAAAAAACCTTGCAATTTATTTTGAAAAAATAAAAAAAGCTAAAAGTAACCTAAAAATGGCTGAAAAGTAGCTAAAATTAGCACAAAGAAACAGAAAAAGCACATTTGCTGAATTAAGCAATAAGAAGCTGAAATTATCACATAACTGAATTTTGTTGAAAAAAGCTCAAATTAGCTAAAAAGTATCTAAAAAAACATGAAATTAGCAGACCGCAGCTGAAAGAATAACACAAAGCTTAAATTAGCAGAAGGGAACAAAAGAGCATAAAAGATTAAAATTAACAGAACAATAGCTAAAAAAATGAACAAACAAAAAAAGGTTAAGTAGATGCTAAAAAACATACAAAAGAAAAATGTATCCTCTTAAGTGTGAATAATAAAAAACTGCAGAGGTGAGCTCACCTGAGAGGCTGGACCCAGGACTTGAGGGTGATAGTCGGGGACACCTCCTCGTATCGAAGAGGCGACGACACCTCAAAGCTCGTCACTCCCTCGGAGGCGATCTGTGTGGAGACAAGGCAGAATCAGACCCAGATCCTCTCTGGTCCAAACCCGTGTGTGTCCTGCTCTTACAATGTGCAGCGGCGAAGGAGAAACACTGAGTCCGTGAAATAAGATGCTGTAGTCCACAGTGACGTCCCCCAGGCTCGCCCACCAGCGTGCTATACAAAACTCTACTACTTTACCAGCCTGAGAAGCAAAAAACAACAAAAACTCTGTTTAATACGTCTTCGGCTCAAAGCTCAACCAACGACTGAGTGAATCAGATGGATGAAATAAACGTACCAGAACAGGGAACGCCTCGGTCAGAGAACCTTTTTCTAACAACGAGGAGAACTTGTAGAACTCATTGGCTCTGTAGGCTCTCTGTTTGACCAGGTGCACCGCGTGAAGAACAAACTTTGAYGACACATCGCCTGAATGAGAAGTCAGAGTGATCTCTGTGGAGGAAAAAGACAGAGAGGATTAAAAAAAACAAATACAGATCATCAAAAATAACAATTAGACGTAGAGACGACACTAAAGCAGAATTTTGATACAGGAGGTGATGATGATAGGTTACAGGTGAGACTAAAAAAACGAAGAGTCAAGGCTAAAAGGCTGAAATGTGTGACAATAAAGTTGTATTTGGTATTAGTTCCTGTGCTCTGAAAATTACATTTATTGAAACTGTCAATTGATGTTTAATAAATTAATCAAGACATTTTTTGTGATTAATCGTGATTAATTGAGATATTTTTGTGATTAATCGTGATTATTCAACATATTTGTGTGATTCCTCATGATTATTCAAGATCTTTTGTGATTAATCGTGATTAATCAAGATATGTTTGCGATTAATCGTGATTATTCAAGATCTTTTGTGATTAATCGTGATTAATCAAGATATTTTTATGAATAATCAAGATATTTTTGCGATTAATCATGATTAATCAAGATAATTTTGCGATTAATCGTGATTATTCAAGATTT